ATGAGGTCTCACCAAGTTGCCCAGGCGGGTCTCGAACCCGCGGACTCAGGCAATCCACTCACCTCAGCCTCCCCAAGGCAGGAGATTACAGGCTGAGCCACCGAGTCCGGCTGCTTTTTTCTTTTTCCACACTCTTTCTGTGTTATGGCAATCTCTGTCTTGGATTTAGGTATCAACTCCATGTGAAGACTCTCCAGTCCAAGTCCTGACTTCTCTCTTGTTCTTAACATTTACGTATTCAGATACTTACAATAAAGATCAACATGTCAAAACTGAGCACATCATTTCTGCCCAATTCAGTCCACCTTTTCTACTTTCCACCCTAGTGAACATGTCCACCCAGTCACCCAAGCCAGAGGCTGAATCTTTTTAGACTGTCTGCTCTCCCTCAACCTCACATCAAATCAATAAATCCATGAGCTCCATCAACATTTTCCCTTAAACTATTCTGGAGTCTATCCTGTCCTAGCTCTGCTGACATTGTCTTATTTCAAGATCTTGGCATTTCAATCCTCTTAACAATCCTTTATAACCCACACCCTGGAAAGCCATCACTGACACCTTGGTGTATTTCCTTCTACTCTGAAAAAATTACTAATTATGTCACATCCTTAGACAAATTATTTAGTCTCCCTGTGCCTCGGATGCCTCATCTATAAAATATAGTAATAATACTTACTTCACAGTTTTGAGGATTAGTATTTACAACAGGGCCACACAGTACTATATAAGCATTAGATACATTGTTAAACATAGTAATCCCAGCTAAACACAAAATTGAAAAATCAAAATCTCAAGAAAATAAAGGGTTGGCCATGCATGGTGACTCACACCTGTAATCCCAGCCCTTTGGGAGGCAGAGGTAGAATGATCACCTAAGCCCAACAGGTCGAACCTTCCTCTGCACTCTAGCTTGGGCTCCGACTCAAAAACAAACAAACAAACAAAAATGGAAAGAAAGGTTTAACAAGGAGCAGAAAAAATGGCATTAAATGTGTGTATGACAGCTGGGCTCGGTGGCTCAGTCTGTAATCCTGCGCCTTTGGGAGGTTGAGGTGAGTGGATTGCCTGAGCCCATGGGTTC